TGTGTGTGTCTTTGTGTGTGTCTCTGTGTGTGTGCGCGCGTGCGCGTGCGCGTGCGTGCCTGCAACACGTGTGTATAAGGTACTTACATACATTTAAATATACTTCTTCGACGGGCAAAAGCGCTAAGGTTCCGTCTATGTAAAAAACGAGCGGCCCCGCCCGACGACCCCTCACAGAGGTAATGCAAAATGTTTCGTCTACTTACTTGTAATGCTTCAACAAAATGTCACCGTTGTTATCGAACCTATAGAGAACCTTATTCTATTCATTCCCGCTCCTAAGTCTGAGCCCGAAATTGCGGGACAGGCGCGCTTCAATAGTTTCTTGTGTGCTCCCTGCGGGTGCGACTTGGTAAGCTGGGCAGGTGGAAAAAGAACCTTAGAAATCTTGGAGCCAAAGTCATTGCTTCTTAGTCCGGTGGGCGTCAGACCAACCCGTTGCAGCTTCGCCAGTGCCATGTCAAAACAATGTCGATGTTGACACGTAAACCTACATGGCTGCACATATCGAGACCCGTGCAGGCATCCTCGCATGCGTTGCGGTACACCAACACCAGCACTGGATGTGTGGATTGTTGGGTGTTGGTTCTCTGCCCTCTGAAGCCTTCTTGTCCCGCCGTTGAAATAGTGTTGAGATTTTCTGATTTGTAGTATAATCTAGTATGGATGTCACGTAGACAGCTGCGAAAGTTGAACATGCGCAGACCTGTAATTTTGCGCACCAGCATCTCATGACTGTTCGAGTGGGTCGCCTTGGGACGAAGAGGTTTTGAGTGATGGGTCGCCAAGACATGAGAGTGCTAAATCCTAAAACGCCGCGCGCCCCAAAACCCGAACGTGCTAAACCCTAAAAGTCCTGCTTTACCGTAGGCTTTGCTGTCCCATACTATACTAGACTATACTAGATTCAACTATGCAAAGCGGTGTGAACTACACTATACGGCACGGATCGACTAGTACTACTACTAGGACTAAAACAAATGCCATACTCATCTACCCTACGCCTCAACAGGTTCCAAACGCCACGTGCACTCAGGTTCTCCGTCGACAAGTCGAACTATCATATCAGCCAAAAGACTGACCAGACCCCCGGCCGCATCTTATACAAAGAAGAGGCTGTCAAATATGGATACATTCTATTTATATATATATATATCTATCTATCTATCTACACACACATCTCTTACTATTTTGCGCATGCGTCAGCATGTGCGTTTATCTTAGCATACCGTAGGTTATGTTGTACCGTTCTTGCATGTCATAGTGCATGTTACACCGTATATACGAAATCTAGAGCAGATGTTATAGAACATAGAAGATGCATAGATATGGTTAAACTCAGCAATAGTATGGTATAGTAGGGCCTGGTATAGCACGGCATGTCATAGCATAGTACAGTAAAGAAAGTGAAGTAAAGAATAGTAAAGTACAGTCGAGTATATTGATTAGAATGCACACACATACGGTATGCATATATGTCTACTCAGTAACTCATCCACATCGCTTGCTTTGTAGGTTGATGGTCTTGGCTGCCTGACCAGATCTTGCTATGTATTTCTTTCAGTTTGTTGACCGCCTCCAAATTGCAGAAAGCCATCGCTGAGGATCGGTAATTTTCTTAGCCACGATTGGGGTACCAGCCGGATCCTCAAGGCACCAGGGCAGGGGTTTCCACAAGCGTTACAACATGAGCCGACCCTCCTGTCGAGTTCACCAAAGCCCGTATGTGTATGCGCTGGTTGATAATTATGAGAATTGCGTGGGTGTGAAGCCATATTCCGGTTCAGTTGGGCTACATAATGGCTGTTCCATTCTTCGCTTTTCGCTACGGCCGCTGACATGTTCAAGATGCCCTAGACCAGATGGTCTTCAGGTGCTGACCCTACTTTGGATGTTCAACATCAGAGCCGCCACGATTGCAACCTTGCTTATGAGTTGCATCCTTGGCTTCCTCCGCATCTTGTGCATCCGAGCTGCAAGGTGTGGAACGTAGACGGAGCCCTGTGGATCCTCTCAGAACCCTAAACCCTAAACCGAGTCCCCAGCTCTCAATTAAGTTGCCTGGTTCATGGGTCTTAGCACAAAGGTACGGGCACCATGCTGGACCATTGGCACCTTCTTCGGCTACGCGACATTCGTGATTTTTCTCTGCTGGTGGCAACGAATTCAATCTCTCTTTGGCTTCAGGCGAGGGCAACAACATGTTGTGCTGTCTTCCTGCTTTGGGAGAATCGGCACTGAAATGAGAGTTTCAGAAACTGGCGGGACCCTGATATAGGACCCTAAATAGTAGGATCCTTGTTGTAAGGACCCCTAAATAGGGTCCCCTAGTTTTTGCTCGGGGGCGGGCCCGCAGGCGCTTGGTTTTCCTGGATAAGCTGTGCATCGCCCAGCACGATGCGGAGCTGAAGCAGCAGGGAATCCTAGGTACCTAGACCGCAATCTTGTAAACTTTTCGTGCGTTCAAGGTTGCACCTGACCCTAAACCCTACCCTAAACCCAAGAAGAAGCAAAACCCTACCTGG